ATTAAAAACTCTATAGCTTGTCTTAATGTCTGGGTAGCTTTTGGTCATTTAGTGGCAGTAGAAAGTGCATAATAAAACACTTATTTCATTCTAGCCAGATTGGCCTAGTTACGTACAGATTAGATTTCTATTGCTCTGGCTTTTACCCGTGTTCTTGGTTGAAATACTTCCTTGACAGGTGTTAGCCATTCCCTGCTATCCATTTTTAATGGCTTGCTTCAGGGAAGTTTTCTCAGAATACTGAGGGCTTTAACAGTCTTAGTCTTCCCTTTCCCGAATTTTCAGACTTAATTGCATTGTGATGATTTGACTGCTGTATTGCAACTCTTAAATGTTTGTGTTTTGGTATGGCATGGTTCTCCAGCTAAGTTACATCTGTGCAAGGTATAGGTCTTTTTAGTAAATGCTTATTGGTTGCATGAGTTAAATAATTGAAGGTGTAAATCTAATAAATGCCATTATCTGAAACAAAAGTAAAGCAACTATGAGGCTTAGCAACTTACCCTGTAGTTAAGCCCAGGATATTTTTAGGGTGAGGTAGGAGATAAGCAAATAATACCTAATGTTTGAAACTTAGTACCATAGACAATGAACTTCTGTAGTTAACATGTGAAAGACGTAACATTGCCTGTTAGAAGTGATAGACCTTCAACTACATTTATGTGATCCACCTGTATTTTATAGTTCTCAAAATCAAAGCATTATTTAATCACTCAGAAATTGTTTCAAGCTGAAAACTCCTCATTTAGCCAGAGAAAATAACATGTTTGTATAATAGCATAATTGTATATAATGGTTGCCAAACTTTTCCATAGCAGCTGCACCTTTTAACAGCTCCAACAGCAATATGTGAAGGTTCCAGTTTCTCCGTATGCTATCCAACACTTTTTATTGTCTTTTTTACTTTAGTCATCCTAGTGGATGAAGTGCTATCTCATTGTGGTTTTGATACGTATTTTCCTCATGACTAATGATGATCTGCTTGTGTGCTTATTGGTGATTTGTATATTTTCTTTCTAGAAATATATATTCAGATCTTTTACTCATTTTAAAATTAGATGTATGTTTTTTTTTTATTATTGAATTGTGAGAGTTTATATATTGCAGTATAGGCCCTTTACCAGATAAATGACTTGCAAATATTTTCTCTCATTCTGTGGGTTGTCTTTTTCACTTTCTTGATGGTGTCTTTTGCTGCACAAAAGTTTTTAATTTTGATGATGTTCAGTCTTTTTGTTTCTTGTACTTTTGGTGCCATGCTTAGGAAACATGGTTAAGATTTAAGCCCAAGTTGTCTTCTGAAGAGTTTAATAGTTCAAGCTCTTACAGTTAGGTCTTTGATCCGTTTTGATTTAATCTTGTGTATGGTGGGAGGGAGGGGTCCATCTTTGTGTTTTTTTTTACATGGATATCTAGTTGTCATAGCCCCATTTGTTAAAAAGAATATTCCAATATTCTTTACCATGGTGAATAGCATTAGTATTTAGCATGTAAGACAAGTTAGAAACCCAGTATAATTCTTTGGTATATGTATCTAGTTCATCATCCTGTACTGTTATTTTTACCTCTACATCTGTTCCTGCACCCCACCACCTTTGTCCAGGCTACGTTTATCTCTTGTTTAGGCATATGTAATAGTATCCACATTTCACCACTCTTATTCTGTACTTCAATTTTCTAACTTGTGCCTTTTATTTTATTTACTGTTAAGACTACAGTGCAAGGCCTTCCATTTGCTCTTAGGATTAAGACAGAAATTCGGTAATATGACCCATAGGGCCCTGTAGGATCCCCACTTAATTCTTTAGCCTTTTTTTTTGCTTTATATGTCCTCCTGATTTTTCCAATCCAGGTAATTCTCAGAAGAATATATCCATATGTTCCTCTGCCATAGCTACCAGTATGCCTGCATCCTTCCCATGTTACTCTGCCTTCCCATCTGTAACTGTGGATAAACTGTCTATTCCTTTATCTAAGGCCAGTCCTTCTACAACTATGTCAGATTCCATCCCCTCTCGTTTAGTCAAGAATATCACTTTTTAAGTTATCCCATCTCTCTTCTGAATTACTGGTTTTTCCTCTATTAGATCATCATGCTGTTTGTTATTTCTTTCATCTTAAAAAACATCATCTTAAAAAATAAAACAACTCAGCTCTTAAAACCTACACTCCATTCTGGCTATAATAATCCCATTTCTCTGTTCCTTTTTCCAGCAGAACTGGAAAGGATTATACGTGCTGTCTCCACCTTATTTCCTGCTGTTTTCTCTGAACCCACTCCTGCCTGATTTTGTTCATCACCACTCCACTGAAACTGCTTTCTTTATCTCTATGTTGCCAAGTTCAGCAGTCAGTTCTCACCTCCTATGTAGGTTGAAGCAATTTCTTCCTTACTTACCCTTCCTTTTTAAATTGTCTTCTGGAACATTTATTGTATAGTACATTATTTATAGTCTTCTGTTTCCTGTTGGTATTTAGCTTCATGAGGCTAGACTTCTTACCTTTTTGGTCTGCAACAACAACAGTGCCTGGCACATAATAAGCATTTATTATATGTCTAAAGACAGAATGAGTAAGTGAATAAATGGTGGCCTTCTATTAGTTCTTCATTCTTTAGGACTTCCTTTTGCCATGCTTCCCTCTTTCCCAGGAACTTTGCACACTCAGTTCCCTTACTACTTTCATCCCTTCCCTTAGACAGCAGTTTCTTGTCTTTCAATTCTATTAAGTATCACTTCCTCATGAAAACTTTTCTGTCCCGATTGCAATCTTTGTGTAAGCTCTCTTGCCCATGGATTTCTTCATAGTAATGATCACTTTCAGTTTTCCATTTATTTGTGCTATTCTTTGATAACATTTGTTGCCTTCCTCCTCCCTCCCCCCCTTCAGGTTGTTTTTGCTCATTGTTAATACTAAGGGCCTACCAGAGTCAGATTCTCAATAGATGCAGTGTTTGTTAAAAAAGTAAATGAGTGAACAAATTACTCTTATAAGCCATAGAACTAATGATCCATTTGAACTACTAAGAATAACATTTGCTTAAAAAGAAAACTGGCTTAGAACTCAATAATTTCCATAATTTTAGGTTGAATTAGAATCTAGTAAGCATAAATGTAGATTGAGATTGCTGCCTTTGGCCAAGAAATTTGTGCTATAATAGCCTCCCTCTATTACTAGCAATCCTTTCAGTGAAATCATCCTTATCACATGGTTGTCCAGCCTTTGCCAGAACACATCCAGTGCTCTTTATTCCAACTCCAGAAGTTTGTTGGCTAGAAACTCACCCTTTGGTTTTGGTGTTTCTCTCTTTCACGTGGCAGGCAGCCCTTTTTATATTTAGAGTTATCATCATGTCCCTTCAGTGTCTTACCCATTGTTAAGTGAAATAGTCTCACTTTATTCTATTGAAATTTTTCAGGTCTTTTGGGCCCATGAAAGATTTTATGGAGAGTATATTCCAACATGGACCCTGTCTTTGTAACAGCTACCAAAGGATTACTTTAAAAAGATTTTATGAGAAAGGCTCCTGTACTTCATATTGGGTACTTGAGATGGCAATTTCCAATATGTCAACATTAGAAAAGTATATTTCAGTAGAAAAATTATTGCAAATCTAACTTTATTCTCTTTAGTAATTTAGTTCTTTATTGAGCTAATTGTACTGGTGAATATACATGTAAATATTAAGTACTGTTTAGAGAAAAATAGCTATTTCAGCCCTTAACTAGTGGGTGAGGTATGTTTTTAATGGATGTAATCCTCACACAACTTTAGTCACTATTACCCCTATTTTACATGTGAAGAAACTGAGGTGCAAGAATCTTAGAAATAAGATTTTATGAATCTCCTCACTTCAGGTAATGTATTTATTTGATCCTTTTTAATTTTGCTTTAAGATCTCACAAGATAATGTCACACTATTTACTAGCTTTTGGAGTAGGTGTAAAGATTTTTTTTTTTATGTATACAGACCTCTGTAATGAGAGCATATAGTCTTCTATTATTGTCTTATAATAATAGAAACTAAGTTATTCTTTGATCCATCTCATTTCTTGTGTTAAAGAAGTGTTATGTCGACAAAATTTTAGGGAAATATTTTATCCTAAAAATGTTGATTATCCAAGGTTGAAAATGTTTCATCTGAAAGCTTAAAGATGTGTCTCTTGGTAATAAGATGATCACTTCAGTTTCAGTATTTTAATCGGGATGGGTAGCAACTGCAATGTTTTTCCTCTAAACTTTCTGTGGGGAGCTTTTATCTCACCTTCTCCTATTTATTCAGAACTTTTTGTCTATAAAGAATCTGTCAACATAGGACCCAGGACAGTCTGGATTGGGGATCTATTTCTGGAAGTGTATTAAACAATTTTCTATAGATACTTGCTTATGAAGCTGCATCAAGTAGATACCATGGTTACCGCCATCTCTGTGATTTACTCTGTTCACAGCCCCTTCCCAAATGCGCATCCTCTTTTTTGCTCTTTTGTTTTCCTGCTAGTTTGGGAATAAGTTTTAAAATATGACTTGCTGTCCTGGTGCTTATGTAGAGTAGCCAGGTGTTTTTCTGGATAGTTAAGAAATGGGCTGACCAACAGGCATAGTTAAAATGGAGAAAGCTTAGCGTTCTGTCTTTCCTGTTAAACATAATGAGTTTAGACGATTATGACTACATGTAATTATCAGGATCTGCTAGACAGGACATCTGTTTTACTTTTTACTCGTTATATTGGTGTAGAAATAGCATCTTTTTAATTTAATGTGGAAATTATTTTGTGTTCTAGCTGGCACTGGTGGCCTAATTTTTGAAATGTGCTTTCTGGAGAAATAGCACATGGTCAGTATAAAATTATCTTATTAGAACTAGATATTTATTTTTCTAAAAATGTTTGTTTTTTAAATGGAAACTAAGTCTTTATGAACATTTGGATATTCATTTATTCTAGAGTGCATTCAATTTTTTTGGTATATTCAAATATTTTTCCTTTGGTTTTATTTGCCAGGTTGCACGTTTTCAAAAAATTCCTAATGCTGAAAATGAGACAATGATTCCTGTATTGACATCAAAAAAAGCAAGCGAATTACCAGTCAGTGAAGTTGCAAGCATTCTCCAAGTAAGTGCTTGGTGGGGAGGTAGGGAGTAAATAGTAAATCAGTCAACTTAGACTATAGATAAATGCCGTCCAATAGAATTTTCTGTGATGATGTAAATATGCTGTTCTGCACTGTTCAGTACAGTAGCGAGTAGTTAATTTAAACATGACAACTCAGTATTTGAAGTGTGGCTATTTAGGTAAGGAACTGAACTTAATTTAATTTTTATTCATTAAAATTTAAATGGCTGTACAGGGCTAGTGTTTACCTAATTGGACAGTGCAGCTCTAGGTCATTAGCATTGCCAGGAACTATTAATGCTATGTAAGGATTAGTTGGATTAATAAAATAGTTAATTATTAATATTAATTAACATAAGTAGAGTTAGGAGTTTATCATTTTTTTGTAAGTGTTTTCTAAAGTAAAGTAAAAGCTAAGTACAAGATAGGGACTGCAAATAAACTTTAATTGCCTATGTAACTTAATCTCTTTAGTTTTAAAAAGCACAGTCTAATGTAACATAGTGTTTTTTATTTTTCTTTCAAAATTCACGTATTTTAATGATGGCATTAAAAAACATTGGATATCTGTGTTTTTGAGGGTTTTTTGTTGTTGTATTTATGTTTTAAAACCATTTATTTTAAATATTTTTAAGTGTTGTGAGACTCCATTATAAAATTCTATTATAAAGCTTTTGGCTGGAGAAACTGATTATTTTAGGGATGCAAGCAATTTCATTCTTTAATGCTAGTTATGATAATACATCGTGAGAGACAATGACTCTTCCTGAGGTTCTCAGACCCAATTCCAATATGGTTGGGAGGGTTGGTTCTCCTACACATAACACCATGCAATTCTTGCACACCCAAGAATTTAACTCAATTCTAACAGTATCCACCCAGAGATAACATCAGATTCCATAGGTTAAGGATTCTGCCCTGGAAGTTTGTCTCTTACTCCTGACTTCAGAAGTCAATCACAAGTTCTAGGCTATTATCTATGCTTTTGACCTACTCAGTACAGATGAGACGTTTCTTCTTAGATTCATTTAATTTGCTAGCTGTGGCTCACAGAGCTCAAGCAAACACTTAAGTTTATCAGTTTATTAAAGAGAAAATAAAGGATACAAATCAACAGCCAGATGAAGAGATAAGTGGGTCTGGTATGGGGAAAGGGCCTGGAGCTTCCATGTCCTCTCCAGGTACACCATTTTCCCCAGTCTCCATGTGTTCAGCCTGGAAGCTCTCCAAGCCCAGTCCTTTTGGGCTTTTATGGAGGCTTTATTGCTTAGTCATGATTGACGGAGTCATTGGCCTTTGGCTGATACAGCCTCTATCCTCTCTCTCTTCAGAGGTAAGGTAGGATGGTGAACCCTCTTGGCTACCAGCTGCTGCTCTTGGGTGGGGTCCAAAAGTCACTTTCTTTAACACAACAAAAGACACCTTTTTTGCCATATCCCAGGAAATTCCAAGAGTTTTAGGAGCTCTGAGCCAACAACCCTGGAGGAAGACCAGATAAATAAAAATGAGAAATATGCTTGGTCATTGATGACCAGATAACATAAGTATTTCTTATAAGTCACAATATTGTGGTGACTGAAGAATGTAGGTGGTGTTCATAGAACATAATTATTTTCAGTAATTTAGGAACCACAAATTATCTGCTTGAAATAATTACACAGTTCAAGAGTAAAAAGTAATACCAATCTGAGGGTTTTGATAATATGCTCAGAGAACAAGAAAGGCAGTTTTGGTTCACTGAATGTTCTTTTGGAGAAAATAATTTTAGAAAATAAAACAATGAAAACAAAGAAAGCTAACTAAAATGTACTGATATTTTGCTTTCTGTAAGTCATGTGGCTGATTTTTGTTATTTCTTTTTTCTCAGAGAAAATCATAAGTTTGTTTATTAAACTCTACCTTATTGCTTACATTTTTTAAAAGTGCTAATATATGTTACCTATATATCAGTAATTTTTTTATCAAGGTATAATTTACATGAAATATAATGTACCCATATTAAGGGAACAGTTTGCATTTTGGCAAATGTAACTACCACCAGAATTAAGTTATGGTACACTTTCATTCACTCCTAGAAGTTCCATCAGGTTCCTCTACAGATTTCTAAGTAGATTTTGCTCTTGGCCCCAAGCAACCACTGATAATGCTTTTTGTTACAACAGATTAGTTTTGACTGCTGTATAGTTCTTATAAATATGAACATACATTATGTACCCTTGTGTTTTTGTTCTTTTGTCCTCTGCTAACATTTTTAGTAACTTTTATATGTAAAATCTAATAGGCTGATCTTCAGAATGGTCTAAACAAATGTGAAGTAAGTCATAGGCGAGCCTTCCATGGCTGGAATGAGTTTGATATCAGTGAAGATGAGCCACTATGGAAGAAATATATTTCTCAGGTGAGATGTTTTTATTTCCTCCTCTGCTGTGTAATTTACATGTATTTTTTGTTAGTGTAGTTGTTTACTTTTGTGAAGCCTTTTTTTTTTTTTTTATGGGAGAAAAGAAATAATTAAAAAAAAATCTGTTTTACCTACATTTTTCTGTTAAAGTTTGCTATGTTAACCTGGAATTTATATAATTTTTATTATGCAAATCTTTAAGAACTTACCTATAATGTGGAATTGATATTATGAACAGTAGTTTCCTTTACAGAGTCTACCTTACACTTATTATAAGGAATGCTAATATATGTATATTAATATATATTTTTGGAATGTTCATATTTTTTATAGTAATATGGCCAGCTTAGAAAATGTAATAAGGGCAGTCCCGGTGGCTCAGCGGTTTAGCACCGCCTACAGCTCAGGGCGTGATCCTGGAGACCCGGGATCGAGTCCCATGTCAGGCTCCCTGCCTTGAGCCTGCTTCTCCCTCTGCCTGTGTCTCTGCCTCTCTCTCTCTCTTCTCTCTGTGTATTCTCATGAATAAATAAATAAAATCTTTAAAAAAAAAGAAAAAGAAAAAGAAAATGTAATAAAAGTAAGTTAGGTAGTTTGAATCCAGACTGCCTGAGTACAGATTCTATCTTTATTTCTTACTAGCTATATGATCTTTATTATCTTCTGAGTCTCTTATCTATAACATGAGGATAATTTTAGGAGATTGTAAGGTATCTATAAACAATAGTTATTTTTAATATATTTTGTCAATATCCCAATCTTTTCAGAAAGACTATTGTAGGATTTTGTCTTATCTTGATAACAAGTATGTTACTGTGAAAAGTTCCAAGAATGCAGAATCCTGTGGCCAGTTTTCACCCAGTAGGGTTAGTTTGCCAAACAAGTTCTTTTTATTTTTACTTATTTACTTATTTTTTTAACAAGTTCTTTTTAGTAAAGAAAACTTTTAATGCCTTCTAACTACCGGTTGTTTTTTTTTTTTTAAGATCTATGTGTAGCTTTTTTTTTTAAAGATGTTATTTTTAAATTTAATTTTATTTAAATTCAATTTGCCAGCATATAGTATAATATCCACTGCTCATTACATCATGTGCCTGCCTTAATGCCTGTCACCCAATTACCCTATCCCCCTACCCTATGTATAACTTTCCTAAAGGGCTTATTAATGGGTTCAAATTTATTGGTCTTAATTTTGCAGATGAGTTTGTCTAAAGTGGAAAATAATCTGTCATGTTTGTAGAATATTATTTATATGCATGTTTGTATTCTCACATTTACTACATTTCCACATTACCTAAAACTTTAGGAAGTTGACTCTGGATTTACAAACTACGATGATTGGACTTACTTATACTTGGCGGTATAATTTGATGCTTTACTTTCTTATTCATGTTTCAAAGCTAGACTACCTGCATCATGGGATTGCCTTGAGAATGAAACAGAAACAATGTAATGTAGTTCTGCTTGTGCTGAACTACATTAGCAGTAAATATCAGTTGTTAATCATAAAGTATTGGGCAGCCTCTCTGTTCCTCTACAAAGAACACTGAATTTGTTGCTTTGCAAACATTTGTCTGGAGCCTGCCATTAATCAAGTGGTATGCTTATTACCATGGCATAGCTATTTTAGAGATTGTAATAAAAAAGCCCATGGGTCTTTGTCATCAACTTGTGATGATAAGAGCTAACATTTGAAGAGGGTTTTATGGTTTACACAGTGCTTTAATATACATTCTTAGTTAATTTTTACCATACTTTTGGTGTAAGGTACTGTTTTACCAGATGAGGAGCCTTGGGTCATACATAAGTGAAAGAGCTGGATTTAAATCCAGGTACTCTGACTCAGTGAAGTGTGTGTGGTTTGTCAACCCTAAACCATATTGCAGTTGTAGTTTTAGTTTGTTAGAGTAGTGATTTTCAATCCTCTAGAAGTTAGAATCACTTGGGGAATGCTTAAAAAATGCTGAAGCCTGGGCCCTATGCCCAGAGATTTTGATTTAACTGGTCTGGTGTGAACCTAGGCATTTGTTAGAAGTTCTTCGCATGATTCTGATGTGAGGCAGGGTCAGAACCACTGTGTCAGGGAATGGAATCATATGGGGAGTGGGAGGTGACAGGATCTAACCTCACTGCTGTTGTATCTAGGGGCTGGGCTCTCTGGTGGGATGAATTCTTTGTAGCCTAGTGACTTTTGCACCTTTAACAGTGATTGGCACCATTTCATCAGAAGGAAGAGGCTCTGGCAACAAAGCTCTGATGTTTAAGGAGTAGGATGTCCAACTGGAAGAATTTAGGGTAGCTCTGGTGCTTGGTCATCTAAGCACGGCCTGGTTGGGTCGGTGGTGTGGTTCTGTTTCTTTAGATACTGTTGCCTCTGCCAGATAGATATTAGGAAAATGAGCAATTGGAAAATTCTCAGCTTCTGTGGAGTGGATCTTACTGTCAGCTCTTTGCTGACCAAGGGGGATTATCCCTGGGGCATGTGGGACAACCCCTGAATTGTAATCTGTGCTAATTTACTAAGTATAGGAATGTTTGGACCTCGTAAGTTAGGTGTGCTACCCAGTGTTAACCTAAATCGTCATCTTAAAAATAATTTTCCACTCATTCTAGCTTCAGTAGAAATTCAGTCCAGTTCTATTTATTAAATTATTGTACTGAGGGGATCCCTGGGTGGCGCAGCGGTTTGGCGCCTGCCTTTGGCCCAGGGCGCGATCCTGGAGACCCGGGATCGAATCCCATGTCGGGCTCCCGGTGCATGGAGCCTGCTTCTCCCTCTGCCTGTGTCTCTGCCTCTCTCTCTCTCTCTGTGTGACTATCATAAATAAATTTTAAAAAAATTAAAAAAATAAATTATTGTACTGAAAAGACACATGTATCATAAGGAATTGGTAGGTTCTTAGTTTCAAGTATTGATATTTAATTTTCTTTTTTTTCTGAAAAGGAACTGTTAAGAAGTGGTGACTTTTAAATGTAGTTAAGTATAAATTTTTTGTTAATTGAAGAGACATATAAAATCTCATTCAAATGTAGACTCATAGTTTTCTAGCCATGCTTCAGTAGTTTATTTTTTTAAGTTTTTGTTGTGATGGAACATAACTACCATTCATACAAAACTGTTGAATTGCTGTTTGTTTTCATTTTCAGTTTAAAAATCCCCTTATTATGCTGCTTCTGGCCTCTGCAGTCATCAGTGTTTTAATGCATCAGTTTGATGATGCTGTCAGTATCACTGTGGTAAGAAAAAATATGTATATTTTAAAATTATTGGATAATCATTTAAAATTAGGGTTGGCTTTTATTTTGGGAAGTGAAATGAGAAATACCTTAACATTTCTTCAGGTTTTTTGTTAATATCCAAATTCTGCATTTTGTTGCAGTAATCTCCAGTAATGTTGAAGGGTCTGTGGTTGGCATTCATGAGAATTATTTGATAACCTTATAATTTTACAGATATGAAATATTTTATAATAAATTTCTGGTTAAATTTAATTTCATTTCCTTTCTAATTGAGAATGTTTTGACTAATTGTGAACTAAGCCTGATGATTATGAAAGTAAAAATATTACTTAACAATTGAACACTATTTACTATGTAACATTTTATTCTTTTTGGCTAAGCTGTTCTAGCTTTCATTGAAAGTTTCCTAAGTTTCCTTTGTTTTCTTGTCCTCTGTTTTCTTATAGTATAAAAGTTTATAGCGAGTATAAGCGTTGATTAAAACAAATATGTTTCTTAAGAACACAGTAGAAATTAATATAGATAGAGCTTAATTTGGTTTTTGAACTCTTGCTTGTAGACTCCCTGGTGTCTCTGAAACTGTTTCAGGGAGACTGTAAGGTCAAATCTATTTTTGTAATATTAAAACATTATTTTTGCTATAGATATTTGTATCTGTGGTACAAAAGCAATGGCAGGTAAAACAGTATTGACTCAAGTCAAAATAATGGCACCAAACTGTACTAGTGGTCATTGTTTTCTTCCTTGTTTCTCTTAGAAGTGTTTTTCATAAAGCAGTAAAAATTAATTTCATTAAATCTTGACAGTTGAGTACATGTCTTTTGAATATTCTGTATAATAAAATGAGAAATAAGCATAAAGGATTTATGTATCTTGAGGTACAGTTGTCGTTTCAGGGAAGGGCAGTTTTGGTGAGCTGAACTAGGCTTTTATTAAAAAGAAGGAATGATAGACTTGGTTAAGACTTGGATAAATGGCGTATTTTTTTAAGGAAGTGAATGAAATGAACCTATCACTTCAAGGAAAACAAATAGCACTTATTGCCTGTGATAAAATTCAAGCTTTCAAGTGATACTTAGAATTTTGCAAAATTTTTATTAATTACCATGTGCTACATAGTTTCCCAGTATTTAAGACTTTATTCTAATGAGATCAGTAGTGATTTCAATGAATATGATTTTTTTTACTATTATGAAATGTGTTAACACTTGAAAGATTTGAGTAACCAAGTAAATCAGTGTTTTCTAAGTGACCGGTGCAAGATGTTACAGTGTTTTCAGTGATCAAAGATCCATTCAAAGTGAAAATAGGTTAATGGATTTTCTATAATAAATTAAGAAAAGTTCATTGATACAATTTAGATTCTACATTGCAAATTAAGTAACTATACTTGTCTAATTTTGGTGTAGTAGCTAAGAAGGATATCACAGTCATCTGAAAAAGCTTTTAAAATTCTTCCTTTTCCAACAATATCTGTATGAGATTAGGTTTTTTTTGTATACTTCAGCCTAATCAACATAAGATCTTAGATTGAATGCAGAAGCTAATGTGAGAATCTAGCTTTGTATTAATGTCTTTAAAGGCAGATATTAAAGATAGAATAATTGAAAACACTTGGTATTTTTCTCAAAAATTTTTTATTTGAAAAGTGTATTTCCCATAAAAATGTTGTATATATTAACATGTAATGGTTTTTACTACTTTTTAGATGAATTAATAAGGAGAAATTAAAACTGAGCAATTGAAAAAGTAATTATGATAAATATCAATAGATTAAAACCCACAGAAAAGCTGGTCCTTAGTTTGTAAGAGCAAAGAGGTATCTTGAGATCAAATTTGAGAAGCTGCCCTAGGGAAGGCAAATCACAGTCAGCTGTCAGTTTTTCCCCAAAGGCAAAGTTGTGATTTCTTGCCCAGTAGATCTCAGTGCTTAGTGTCTGGTATCTGGGGACTGCAGATAGAAAAATAAAACTCTATTAACAGTTATTTCTGAAGTTACAATGTCTGATTTAAAAAGTTGTTTCTTTGTTTTGTTTAGGCAATACTTATCGTCGTCACGGTTGCCTTTGTTCAGGTGAGTAGGTAGCCTATTTTTTCAGTATGAAAATGGTATTTTAGTTAATTGCTTAAAAAAACTAGGGTGTCTTATGATAAAATCTGTGGTTATTGGAGGATGGTAATATTGGTCAGAACAATTCATTCATTGTTTTTGAAATGACTTCAGAAACTCAACTCTCTAGGGAACTTTGTGGAACTAATTTGTTTTGATTTAGAAAGTAGAATGAAGAAAACGTTTTTTTATTTGATGAAGTTAAAGGTAACTGAAGGAGATGAAGACATAAAGCACAATAAATAAATAAAATCCAGCAACAAGTTTAAAACCTTTATTCAATTAAAAAATTGGGCTAGGTTTAAATTTCTCATTTCCTAGACATAAAGAATGTTCTGACCTGTATTAAACTTCGAATTCAGCATAGGCATTCAAACAGTAAATAAAACATACAATGAGGAACCCTCTTTTTTTTTTTTTAATTTTTAAAATTTATTCATGAGAGACACAGAGAGAGAGACAGACAGAGACACAGGCAGAGGGAGAAGCAGGCTCCATGCAGGGAGCCCGATGTGGGACTCGATCCCCGGGTCTCCAGGATCACACCCTGGACTGAAGGCAGGCGCTAAACCGCTGAGCCACCCAGGCTGCCCCTGAGGAACCCTTTTTAAAAATGAAATGTGTATAATGTTGAGATAATGTCAGGATTTTTATTGCAAGTATAGGCATATATGAAAACATAGGCTTAGTTTTATGTTTATAAAATGTTTGATAACTTCATATTTTAGAATAGTGTTGGCAGGTCTCATTTTATTAACAATTTTAAAGCATAGTTAATAAGAATAGAAGGAATGGGGCATCTGGCTGGCTAAGTTGGTAGAGCATGTGATTCTGGATCTCGGGGTTGGGGGTTTGAGCCCCACATTGAGTGTAGAGATGACTCAAAAAAATCTTAGAAAAGTTTATTCTAGTTAGGGGAATAATGTAATGTATGACATTCAAGTTCATGTTGTTTTTAATCTTAAGACTATATTTTAAGTGATTGTGGTTATTTTCACATCTGTGGTTATTATTTCTGTCATTATCCAGGCTTTCTGTGGCAATCTCTAATTTAGTAAGTTATTAGTTTTATAGTAACCCACTGTAAAAAAGGCAGTTGTAATCACATTATCTACAGTAAGTTTGTGAGCTCCATCAATAGACTTCAGGGATTCTGTTTCCAGGGAATCTTCTTTCTTAGAACAGATGAAAGTTGCCCTGGGGTAGGTGGAACTAGTTAGTCCAGCAGAGATCCTTCCAGGCTGGTCATATTCAAGGCTGCTCTTCATTCAGACATGTGGGTTGTACCATCCACTCAACCAGTAACTGGGAACCCTCTTGCATCTTTAATAATGCTTAAGAAATATGGAGTGACTTTCTTCAGAGGGATTCCTACAGCATTATCACTACAGATACGAGGACCTTTGCTCATTCTGTTGGTACATAGAGAGCCCCTACCCCCCCCCCAAAAAAAAAACGCACAAAATTGCGATTTTTAACATAGTGTGGAATTTTCCATAAAGATTGCATGTTATACACTCTGAATGCAATGGCAGAAACCATCTGCTAAATATCTCTGTGAGGGGTTCATTTGATGGAACCCCAGAAGGAATCAACATTTATGAAAAGCCCAGTTTCAGATTGTTACGTCTGGTTTCTTATATATATATGAGCCTTTTACCCAAATGTGCCTTGAAATCAACAAAATATTCTATAAACTGCAATTAAAAACCCTCTGTAAAAGGATCCTGTGCTGCTGCTTCAATTTATCATAGTGTTTTGTCAGAAAACTACCAAAACTCTGAAATTATCAATGCCATATTTTATTTAGTATTTGTGTTTTTAATCTCAGTTTTAGGAGGAGAATGCTTGTTTATTTTTGTATTTATGTGTACCCTTTTTTCACTGTCTCTTTCAAATCTCCGTTTCTTACCCCATTGTATACCCTCACAGCCAAGAATATAGCTAATTGTTTTATATAGTCATACATTGATATCACCTTACAATAAACTGTAGATATAACTTTAAGTGTTCATGAGAGATGGCTGCCAGGTTCTTAATGATATGTTAAATGGTCTTTTTGATACAGAAGTTATCTCTGTAGTTGTAGGGAAGAAAGCCTAAGACGTTTGAAGAGGGAGGTAAAGATTGGGCATCTTCTATATCATTTATTACTAGAATCTAGAATTGGTGAGTGTTTTCTAACCTTCTTATGGAATTTTTGGGTAAAACTTCCAAATTCTTTAATACTCTTGTATGGTTGGGGGAGAGGTGTCTTAGAATTTTCATATTATAGATTTACCTTACTTTCACATTTGTGCCTCTTGCCTAAGTAAATACTGATTTAATTCTAAGTTATTCTTATACAGCTTTGAATTTGCTATTTGAAAAAGTTTGTGATGGATGTGAAACTTTGAATAGTACTAGCGCTGCAGTCATTTCAAAACACTCCTCAGCTTTTACTCCCACTACTCACCCTTCTCCCTTTTAAAACTTAGATTAAGGGATGCCTTGGTGGCTCAGCAGTTGAGCGTCTGCCTTTGGGCAGACTCCGGACGGATCCCAGAGTTCCAGGATCGAGTCTCACATCGGGCTTTTTGCATGGAGCCTGCTTCTCTTTCTGTGTCTCTGCTTCTCTTTCTATCTCATGAATAAATAAAATCTTTAAAAAAAGTTAAAAAAATAAAACTTAGATTAAAAGATTGGTGCATTTAGTGCAGACATGAGACAAAAATAGCAGTGATGCTGTGTGAAGCAAGACTGCCCATGGAAACATGGATTAGATAGTATGGTGAAGTTAAAGATGTTTCTGACTTTCAGCTTTGATTATATGCATAGAGAAAGACTGGAGCATCTCAGACTTAGGGCTCCTGAGAATGTCCCCTTCCGGATAATTCAGGGTGATGGGAAAGGTGTCTGTCAAAGTAGTGCCAGCCACAACTGACTCTTATTTAACATGTTCCAAGTAAACTTACCCCACAAACCTTTGTGGTTAGCCTGTGCTTAATACTCAAAGCAGATATTGCTTGTAGTTAATTGTCTTTGACTTCTTTGGTCATGAAACACTGAAAGTGAAATTATCTTAATCATGAGGCTCAATAAATTTAACTTTAAATGACTGAAGATTATATATTCTTTGGACACTCTAATGAGTGTTCTTCATTTTCTTATAAATAAACTGACCTTAGGTTTCACATTGAATATTAACATATATAATTGGGAATTGTCAGAATTGTTTGGTCACTATAATTTAGCGTTATTTTTAATAAGGGATAACGTTTTATGTGTTAGAAATATAAGTGCAACTAAAGGAAAAGATAAAAACTGGGGGAAGTTTTTTAAAATGAGATTAAAAAAATAAAAATAAAAATGAGATTAATATTTAAGTTTAACATGGAATAGGTACATAAGAACATACATATTTGCATTTCTTTATAAATGTTTTCTCTTAATATTATATTCTTTTTTTAAAAATAGGAATATCGTTCAGAAAAATCTCTTGAAGAACTGAGTAAACTTATGCCACCAGAATGCCATTGGTATGATCCTTGTTTCTGATATGAATTTCTACTTTTTTTAAAATTGAAGTATAATTAGCATACAGTGTTATATTCATTTCAAGTGTATAATAAAATGATTCAGCAGTTTTATATATTACTCAGTACTCATCACTGTAAGTGTACTCTTAATTGCTTTTATCTCTTTCACCCATACCCCTTCCCATCTTCTGGCAGCCACCAGCTTGTTCTCAGTTTTTAAGAGTCTGTTTTTTCATTTGTCACTTTTTTCATTGTTCATTTGTTTTGCTTCTTAAATTTCATATATGAGTGAAATTATATGGTATTTGTCTTCTTCTGTCTTAATTTCACTTAGCATTATACCCTCTAGATCCATCTATGTTATTGCAAATGGTGAAATCTCATTCTTTTTTATGGCTGAGTATATTCTGTGTGTGTGTGTACACCACATCTCTTTTATCTAGTTATCTATGGATGCACATTTGGGTTGCTTCCATATCTTCTCCTATTGCAAATAATGCTGCAGTAAACATAGGGGTGCATATATCTTTTTGAATTAGTGGTTTCATTTTCTTTAGGTAAATACCTAGCAGTGGAATTACTGGATTATATGATATTTTTACCAGTTACTGGATCATACTCTATTTTTAATTTTTTGAGAAATGTCCATACTGTTTTTGCACATTGGCTCCCCCGGTTTGTATTCCCACCAGCAGTGTATGAAGATTTCTTCCTCTCCACATCCTCACCAACACTTGTTTCTAGTATTTTTGATTGTAAAAATTCTGATGGTTGTAAAGTGATCTTATTGTGGTTTTGATTTGCATTCCCTGGTGATTAGTGATGTTGAGCATGTTTTCATATGTCTGTTGGCCATCTGTGCATCTTCTTTGTAAAACTGTCTATTCATGTCCTCTGCCTATCTTTAATCGGATTATTATTTTATTTTTATTTATTTATTTTTTTTAGTGTAGAGTTGTAGGAATTCTTTATAAATTTTGTATAGTAACCCCTTGTTGGGTATATTATTTGCAAATATCTTCTCCATTAAGTAGGTTGCTATTTTTTTTAATGGTTTCCTTTGCTGTGTACATACGTTTTTTATTTTTGTTTAGTCCTAATAGTTAATTTTTGCTTTTGTTTCCCTTGCCTGAGGAAGGAAGAATGTTTCTGTGGTGATGTCAAAGAAATTACAACCTGTGTTTTCTTCTAGGTGTTTTATAGTTTTGGGTCTTATATTTTGGTCTTTAATCCATTTTGAGTTATTTTTCTGTGGTATAAGAAAGTGGTCCAGTTATTCTTTTGCATGTAGCTTTCCAGTTTTCCCAACACCGTTTATTGAAGAGACTGTCTTCTCCCCATTGTATATTCTTGCCTCTTTTGTTGTAGGTTAATTGACCATTTAAGTGTGGATTTATTTCTGGGTCTCTGTTCTGTTGATCTCTGTGTCTGTCTTCCCATTTGTATCATATTCAATTTCTTTCATCAGTGTTTTAAAGTTTTTAGAGTATAAATCTTTCACCTGTGGATAAATATATTCCTGGGTATTTTATTATTTTTGGTACACTTGTAAATGGGATTGTTTTTTTAAATTTCTCTTTCTCCTTCATTATTATTGCATAGAAATGCAGCAGATTTCTGTATATTAATTTTGTATCCAGTGTCTTTACTGAAATCACTGTCAGTTCCAGCAGTTTTTAGGTGGAATCTGCAGGGTTTTTCTTTTTCTTTTTTTTTTTTTTAAGGTTTTATTTATTTACTCATGAGGGAGAGAGAGAGAGAGAGAGAGAGAGAGAGAGAGAGAGAGAGAGAGAGGCAGAGACACAGGCAGAGGGAGAAACAGGTTCCATGCAGGGAGCCTGATGTGGGACTCGATCCCGGGTCTCCAGAATCAGGCCCTGGGCTGAAGGCAGTGCTAAACTGCTGAGCCACTGGGGCTGCCCGGGTTTTTCTATATATAGTAACATGTCACCTGTGAATAGTGACAGTTTTATTTCCTCCTTAGCAATTGGATGCCTTTTATTTTTTTTTTCTTGTCTGATTGCTGTGGCAAGGCTTCTGATTACTGTGTTGAATAAAAGTGGTGAAAGTGGACATCCTTGCCTTGTTCTTGATATTAGAGGAAAAGTCTGTTTTTCACCATTGAGTATGATGTTAGTTGTGGGTTTCTCATAGAAGACTTTTATTATGTTGATGTATGTTCCCTCTAAACTTAATTGTTGCGTTTTTGTCATGAATGGATGTTGTACTTTGTTAAATGCTTTTTCTGCATCTGTTGAGATGATCATACAGTTTTTATCCTTTCTTTTGTTAATGTGATGCATCATGCTGATTAATTTGGAAATATTGAACCACCCTTGCATTCCTGGAATAAATGCCATTTGATTGTGGTGAATGATGTTTTTAATATGTTGTTGAATTTTGTTTGCTTATATTTTGTTGAGGGTTTTTACATTTGTGCTCATCAGAGATACTGGGTTGTAGTTTTTGTTTTTTGTAGTGTGTTAATCTGGTTTTGATGTCCGGGTAATGCTGGCATCATGTAATGAATTTTGAAACTTTCCTTTGTCTTCTACTTTTTGGAATTGTTTGAGAAGAATAAGTATTAACTCTTTTTTAAATGTTTGGTAAAATTCACCTGTGAATCCATCTCATCTTGGACTTTTATTGGGAATTTTTTGACTACTGATTCAATTGCATTGCTAGGAGTTGGTCTTTTTAATTTTCCTTCTTCCTGATTCAGTCTTGGAAGGTTATATATTTGTAGGAATTTATCTATTTCTTCAAAGTTGTCCAATTTGTTGACATATAATTTGTTGTAATCTTTTATAATCCTTTGTGTTTCTGTGATATCAGTAGTTATTTTTCCTACATCCTTTCTGATTTTATTTATTTGCGTCCTCTCCTTGAGGAGTCTGGCTAAAGGTTTGTCAATTTTGTTGATCTTCTCAAAGAACTGGCTCCTGGCTTTATTGATCTATTGTTTTTTTAGTCTCTATTTTATTTCTGTTTTAATCTTTATTATTTTCTTTTTTCTACTGACTTTGACTTTATTCTCTGTTTTCCAGCTCTAAGTATAAGGTTTACTTGAGATTTTTCTTGTTTCTTGAAGTAGGCCTGTATTGCTGTAAACTTCCCTCTTAGAACAGTTTTTTTCTGTGTCCCAAAGATTTTGGACCATTGATTTTCTTTCTTCTTCTTGTTTTTGTTTTGTTTTGTTTTTTGTTTTTGTTTTGTTTTTTTAGAAAAATCAGCAGGGAAACAGTGCTTTGAATGACAAATTAATTGAAATTTACCTAACATATAATATTCAGAGCAGTCCATCCAAAAACCGTGGATTACATATTCTTTTCAAGTGCACATGGAACATTCTTCAGAATAGATCACGTATTAGGCCACAAAACAAGTCTCAAGAAATTCATAAAGATTGAAATTAGATTGTGCTGCTTTTCTGACTGCAATGGTATGAAACTGGAAATCAATCACAAGAAAAATTTGGAAAGAGCACACATACAATAGAATTCAAAGAGCAAATAAAAAAATACATGGAGATAAATGAAAATGGATTTGCACTCTTAAAAATAGAAATTGAGTGTGAATAGTACCAGTAGTAACAAATGGTGATACCAGATTTGTCCAAACATATGGTAGAAATTATTAGGCTGACGTGAAAAATTCATGTTCTGTTCAATGTAGGAAGTTGTAATATTAAAACTTTAAAGTACTGATTTTGCGATTCTTGAGACACGGATTTATTTAACAGGTTTTTTTTTGCGTGTGTGTGTGTGTGTGTGTGTGTGTGTGTGTGACTGTGTTAAGCACTGTTGGGGTTATAATGATGCACAAACAGACCCAGATGAAGAAGAAGAGTGCTACAACTTAACTGGTCATTTTTTCCAATGCCTTTTTTGTCATCTGAACATCTTAATTACCAAGAATAGAAAAATAATTATTTGCTTAGTTTCTTATATTTGACTTAGCTTCTTTGAAGTGATTATAATACTACAACATATTTTTCCTCAGGCAAGCCCACTAGAAATAATTTTTAAAAATAAGTGATGTGTCTTTCTTTTTTCAGCCATAGTTGTTTCTGTTTCATGTTACAGTGTACGTGAAGGAAAATTGGAACATACACTAGCTCGAGACTTGGTTCCAGGTGATACAGTTTACCTTTCTGTTGGAGACAGAGTTCCTGCTGATTTACGCTTATTTGAGGTAAGTTTGGTGTGTCAATTTCTTTGGGCTGCTTTAACAATGTACCATAGCGGGATCCCTGGGTGGCACAGCGGTTTGGCGCCTGCCTTTGGCCCAGGGCGTGATCCTGGAGACCCGGGATCGAATCCCACGTTGGGCTCCCGGTGCATGGAGCCTGCTTCTCCCTCTGCCTGTGTCTCTGCCTCTCTCTCTCTCTCTGTGTGTGTGACTATCATAAATAAATAAAAATTAAAAAAAAAAAGTACCATAGTTTGGGTCGTTTATAAACAACAGAAGAGTATTTTGCGTAGTTCTGGAGGCTGGGGAATCCAAGATCAAGGGTCCAGCCCAGTTGTGTTCTAGTGAGGGCCCTCTTTTCGGGTTCATAGCTATGCCTTCTCTCTGTCCTCACATGGTGGAAGGGGCTGGGGAGCCCTCTTTGAGGTCTCTTACAAGAACACTAATTATGTTCATGAGAGCTCCATCCTCTTTACCTAAGCACATCTGAAAAGTCATACCTGCTAATACCTCATGTTTGAGATTTCGGATTTCAATATATAAAGTTGAGTGGGGGACGCAAATATTGAGACCATCGCATTTGGTGATCTTTTTCTGAGAAATGAAAATACTTGGATGTAGACTAAAGAACAGATGTTAGTAATTTTAAGAATGCATAGCTGATTTGGACTCTGTTTAAAAAGTGCCACGTAGTAAACGTGTTTTGTTTTCTTAAAATATATTTATCTTTACCACAGAGTCTTTTGAGGTATACATTAGTGAATCAGCCTATCTTTATGGAAATGTGTGTTAGGTCTTGGGGAAGACACAAAGATGATGTAATGAGTTCTTGTGATCAGGGAGCACACTATTTGTGTACGTAAATCACTCACAATAAAATAAGATACAGTCTGGTAAGTGACTAAGAGAAGTACAAAGAATGGAGTGTAAAAACTTAGAGAAAGGAGCAATTACCTCTGATTTCAGTGAAAATCAGAAAATGCTTCAGACAACAACGTGGCTTTGATGGTGAGAATGGAAAGGTAGTACTGGACAGAGATGCGGAAGACCACGAAGCAGCAGTATTCAGATCCCTGTGAATGTCCCAATGTATAGCACCGGCGTAGGTAGAATATGTTAAGGGTAGAAAATATATGATGGAATCAGATTCAAGGGGGCCTTGGATACAAAGCTGTACTTCAGATTTTACTGGTTAGGAATTGGCTTTAAAGGTCATATGCAGCTGGCAAATGATTTTGCCCTTAATCTGGTCACAGTGTATAGAATAGATTGACAGGCTAGAAAATGGAGTTAGGCATCTAGTTTATAGCATGCCAGTCGCATCTACTTTTGGAATTAACAGGCTATTCATTAACACCTATAGAGCTGTCAGTCTTTGAGAACATTCAGATTTTGGGACATAGAAAGTATTCAGAGGTTATAGAAAGCTTCAAGAACCTTTCTGAACTGTAATAACAGACTTCATTTAATCCTGAAGCAATGGCCTTTTTTCCAAATATTTAAAATTTCTTCTTAGGAAGATACCCGATTGCTTTAATTGGTGAGTGGAAATAATTGATAATATAGCAAGTGTTGGGAATATTGTTTATTTTGCTTTATCACTTTCTGCCTTTATCTTTTTATGTTACATCTGTTTTTACTCATTTCTTCTCCCTTCCTTCTATTCCTAATACTTGGTTTATGACAAGACCTTGGATTATCATTCTTTAGACTTTTGGTTGGCCTGTCACTTGATATAAATTATCTTCCCTTTCCTCAGAGGGCCCTAATTTGAATTCTTGGAGTTTATGTCATCATTTATTCTGGAGTGCTTCTCTTTCAGTTTAGAAGCAGACCTCCTCATTGGGGTAGTAAGTAGATGGTGTTTCCCTTTATTTGAACATTTTGAGCAGTATAATGACATAGAAACTTTAAAACAGGGATGCCTGGGTGGCTCAGTGGTTGAGTGTCTGCCTTTTGCTTGGTGTGATCTGAGGGTCCTGGGATTGAGTCCTGCATTGGGCTCCCTGTGGGGAGCCTGCTTCTTCCTCTGCCTATGTCTCTGCCTCTCTGTCTCTCTCATGAATAAATAATTAAAATCTTAAAAAAAAAAAAAGAAACTTTAAAACACCATTTGACTTGGTAAAGTATTTTAGAGTTTCATTTAAATAAGGGTTAATCTAAGAATTATTTCAAAGTTCATGTGCAACTGAGAAAAAGGTAGAGTTCTGGACTAGTATATATCTTCTCCACTTAGCAAATATACTTTAAAGACTTACTGTGAGTTCAGTAAGGGAATTTTTGACCTTTTAAAGCTTGACGTGTAAAAATTGAAAGCATGTACTTTGTGGAGTGATGGGTTGTTACTGTTTTCCTCCTGCCATTAATTTTTTAGACACTTTCATTAGCATGTGTTTTATTTGACAGTGCTAAAGTTAGGTTGATTTTCTTCTAGTTAATCCATGTTTACATATATAGTTGAACATCTTTGGTTCCCTCTATCACTTCTTGTTCTGTTCATTTTACCTATCACCTTGGTACCTCAAGCAGGCTTTTACAACAACTTTTGTAGTAGATTAAGATAACTTTTCTAAAAGATTTGAACCTTTGTGCTGCTTCTAGATTTAAACGTACTAACCTATGACATAATAAGGCTATTAAGGTAAATTTCTCTTCTGGACACAGAGGCTACTAGCTTCTGGAATTAGGTTGGCTTATTGGAGTGTTATTTGCTGAATTTGGCTATGGTGATCTTTGGATGATTTTAAGGCTAGCTGGTCATTTGATGTTCTTGTATGAAATAAGCTCTTCCTTAAGATTTAAAGGAAACCAAAAACTCACATGCCTTTGAGATATTGCTGATTTCTCAAAACAAAGTGTGTGGATTTCACTTTAGAAAAAGGAAGTGTTTGGACTTCCACTGTATCATTCTCTTCTTGTGGGTGGTGTGGTCTATCAAGGTTGCACTCTAGCATAGTCTTGCTGCCACTCTAGGGTTCCTGTCATAAATTTTGAAGGTTCAGATTTTGACTATAAAATTTGCCTGGGCATTCAGTTGCATCTTGTCTGCAAGTTCAGTAATATGGCTGCTATGCAACTTTTATTTAGTATTATCTCTTAATAGGCTGTGTCTTAAGTTAGTTCTGGCTGCTGTGATTAGATACCATAAAGTGGGTCGATTGAGAGAGTGATTGCTCTCTCTTCTTCTACTTCTTATAAAGCCACTAATCCCATTACGAGGGCCTCACTCACACGAGTTCATCTGACCCTGATTACCTCCCAAGATAATTATCATCACATTGGAGAGTAAAGCTTCAACATGAATTTTACTGGGACAAAATTCAGTCCATAGCAGGTGGACACTGTCATTTGTAAATCCTTTTCAAGGAAGATTAATTTTGATGACTTTAGGAATTCTGCATTTTGTTCTCTTGCCTGACTCATTTTCCATAGCCAGAGAATGAACCAGTATGTGTTGGTGACAGTAACCTTGCCAGCTTAGGAGCCTTAGAGTCAGTGGTGGAGCTGGGACAGTAAAATTTAGAGGAATTGAGCTATGGGTATGTTTTCCAGTTTTTTCCCCTGTGGGTTTTTATTTTAATTTTTAAAAGTATCTGAGAATAGACACCACTTGACCATTAAATGGTGATTGTTAATGGATTGGTCAGACTATGACTTTAGGTGAAGGAGTCTTATACACCGTACCTACATAATAGTACATTTTGCCTTTTTGGAAATGTAGCATATTTTACTTATTGTTGCAGGTAAAGTCTGTATCAATGTTTGTACCAAGAAGTCTTTGTAAGAGAAAACAGTAAGAGTGAAGGGAAAAGAGGGTTTCATTTTTTTGTTGAAAATATTTTACCTCTCTTAGGTTTAACTTTCTAAGCCTGAAATGTTGCCTGAAAATCTAAGATTTTCTTTTATTTGAAATTCTGAATGATTAATTCCATTGACACTTTCTTTTGTGGCTCCCTTGCTTGTGGTTAGCCTGTATCATTCTTTGAAGTTATCCTCAAGATCTAGACATTGGATACAGCTGCCTTTTTTTTTTTTAAGTTTTTGATATGATTTTCTAAATGTATCAAATTTTCTAATGAAAACTACCAGTTATATGCCTGATGGCCAAGAATTAGCTATTTTTATGATCCTAGATTATTATTATTTTTTGTAATTTTTATTTATTTATGATAGTCACACACAGAGAGAGAGAGAGGCAGAGACACAGGCAGAGGGAGAAGCAGGCTCCATGCACCAGGAGCCTGACGTGGGATTCGATCCCGGGTCTCCAAGATCGTGCCCTGGGCCAAAGGCAGGCGTCAAACTGCTGCACCACCCAGGGATCCCCTGATCCTAGATTATTAATTGGACCATTTAAACCTGAGCCAAAAGATATCTCCACTAGGAGTCAAAGCCCACTGGGGCCATGCTCAGAAATCCAAACTTAAAATAAACCAATTGGCATTATATAGTGAACCTTTTAACCTCACGAATCCATGTATTTTGTTATAGGATAATATTTCAACTAAGTTTTTGGTGTCTTCAGGGCTGTTTCTTCCTATTTCTTAGTTCCCAAGTGAAAACCAAAGATAATGAGCACAGATCTATTTTGGCTACCTACCAATGGAAGGAGTCAAAGAGTCTTCTTGACAAAAACCTTACTTAGCCTTTATGTCCCTTTCTGTAAAGCATACAGTTTTGTGCACACTTTTGGTAAGAACCACTAACAAGCACTTTTCTCTGTGTTGGCTAATTTCATTAGATCGGAGCTATCTTTCTGTGTCAGAGCATTGTGACTTATTGAGCTACAAATGTATTTTCCATTTACTCAGTGAAAAGCTTGATATTCTGGTGAAACTCAGATTCTAATTTCATTTGCAATGCTTTTTGAAAAAAATCCTTTCAAACATTTGCTGGAATATAAGCACATGTAATGATAGGTTAAATTTACTTAATTTGGTAATGGAGCTAACTTAGGCAAAATGTAATGCCTCTCTTTGGAAATTGGTGTGTGTCATGAGGTC